TGTAGTCGACAGTATAGATGCTTGTATCGGGCACTACTACCTGGATGGTTTTCTTTCCTTCGTGATCAACAAACATCTTACGAACGGACTCTTTGTTCGCGTTTTTGTCGATGGCGCAAGCGACTCGTTTGATAACACTGAACCACCAGTCGTCTGGAGAGGTTCGTAATTTCCAGTGGTTGTTGTAGGCTGTGATAATGGCAGAAAACAATCCGCAATCTCCGAAAGAATAAACGTTGTCTGTTGAACCCAAAGCAGGAACCATATCTTTGGCGTAGGAATCTGTGTAACGCTTGAACAATTCGTTCGCTGGTCTTGCGACAAGTTTGCTGTCTTCAAACTTAGAAGGACTCAGGTGTTCCGCGAGTACCACAGAATTTACTTTCAAACTATCGGCTGTCGTACACGACCCGATTACAGGTGACTTGGATTCGTTCTTGGCCATGGTATAAGTTAATATAAACTGTTCCAACGGTAGCTTAGATAGAAAACCAAATGTAGCTGGCAATAGAAGCGAGTAAAATGAAAAACCGCTTAAACGTTGACAAGAGCGGCAGGTGCGTTTTCGTTATGTCATGATCATTAATCATAATTTACTGATATCGCAGTCACTGACGTTTGTGATACATAATTTTCATTAGTTTGGCTAATTTGAGTTCGAGTCAGACTCGCTGTAGGTTGGAATCATAGCTTTCATTGATATCTGCTTTGAAAGCTAAGTGCAAAACACTTCCTGCGATTATTATTCATGCAAATTATTTTTCCTTGTGTGACTGGCTTAATGGCGAGATTAATTTTTTTCATAACGAGCTGACTTGCATCAAATTTGGAAGATTTACGACATCAGTGCGATATCTCAGTGCTTTGATAGTAATATGTAATATCAATTATTGCTCTTTCTTTTAGCTAGCTTCCTGCCAGTATAATTCATTCAAAATATTTCTCCGTTTTGGACTGGCTAAATGATGCGGTTATTTTTTCTTTTACTAGTGGACGACTGACATCAATCACTTTATAATAATAAAAAGCAATAGCCGAGGAATCAGACCGGAAAATAGAAAGCAATTGTGCCAGGGCAGTCTAGTGGGCATGTGCGAACTATCCTCTTTAAAAAAAAAAACTTCACGCAGTTCAACAATAGACCGGTTTTACTCACGGAGCCTGCAAAAGAAATCGCTTAAATAAGAAAAAAGCTCAACTCCCAAAGGATTGGTTTGGTACACCAACATGGCCGCCGTCTTATTGTTTTGGAACACCAATATGGCTGCCATGACGTCACGTTAAAGTGATTTCTTCGTCTTAACAATATAAATCGTTTTCAATCACGTGGCCGGCAGCCATTCAGAATTACTGTGACAAAAGAATGTGTTTGTATAGAAACATTTTTTACTCCCACAGGA